AACCTAAACTTGTTTTGTTTTTTTTTTTTCGTTTTTACTTTTTCTTTTTTTTTCGTATTAATATTAATTGTTTTAAAAATTTTACGAAAATTTTAAATTAACCGATAAGCAACGCTTCCAATTTGTATATCTGATATGATAACTGGTTCACCCTTTGTATTTTCTGCTTCACTCCTAACCACAATACCAAGATTATTGCCTCTTTTTGCTAATTTTACATCAAAAACACCATCAAATGGTAAAGCACTTTCTGCAATTAATGATAATTTATCAATTAATTAATGATATCAATCAATAATCAAACTGTAATAATTTTTTTTTTTTTTGCAGAAATTTGGAAACATTCAAAGAGTTATTGTATATTGTAATGTTAAATTTTACAATTTGAAATTATATTTTTGGGAAAAAAGAGAAAAAGAGGAACTCAAATGATTAGAGTAAAAGGAGTATAAGAAGATAATTGAATTGCTGAAATATGATTATATAATTTCATATTAAATAATTGTTACGCAATTATCAACTCATTTTATATCAAAATTTGAATTTAAAAAATGGTAATCATAACATTATTAAGGAATTTTTTCATTAAAAAAAAAAAAAAAGGATAAGATTAGAATATTAACTGATAAATTTCAAAAACAAAAGAAAAAAAATCGGAATCAAAGTATTTTTAAATAAAAAATTTACGGAATCATATACTGAAGGATAGAAATGTGGATAAAATTTGTTGCAAATAAAAATTTAATATTAATAGAAATTTAATTGAATCATAAATGTATGTAAATGTAAAAAGTAAAAGAATAGCAAATTTATTTTTCATACAAAAGTAATCGATAAAAGTTTAAATTAAATACAAATTCATATTTAGCATAATTGAAAAATTTACCAATTACATCAAATTCAACGAATAATTTCAACGGGCTTGTTGCTTGTCTTAATATTTGATTACCTTCTTCGGCTGTACCATTTATGCTACTCCAATTATTAATAGCAATAATACGATCACCAACTTGCAATACACCACTTCTAAATTATGAAAAAAATTAGGAATTCTTATTAAGAAATTATGAAATTTTACTAAAATCATGATAAAAACAATTTGTCAATAATATTTTCTAATTTAAGAATGATTAATTAATTAAGCAAAAGAGACAATAATGAAAAAATAAATAAATAAATTTTCATTTCAATCAAACTTTCCCATTTTTTTAAAAATAAAAAATAAAATTGGATAAAAAATAAAATTGGAGAAAAAAATAAAATAAAATTTGAAATTTTATTTTTTAATAAAATTTCATCATTATACATATTTATTGCATCCATTTCAAATATTAAATGAAACGAAAAGCATACTGTAAGAAAATAATAACCTAATGAACAATTTGTAAAGTAATTTTTGTTTGTTTTCATTTGTACATAATTATAATTTTATTGTACTTAACTAATAAATCAAAGGTCAAATCAAACTATTAAAGATTTTTTTTAAATTTTCAAGTTTTTACATTTATAAACATATATGTATTAAAAAATATTGTAACAAAGCAAAAAAAGAAAACAAAAAAAAAAAAGGGGAAAAAATGGAATACCTTTCAGCAGGTGAATTTTTTTCCATATGTGAAATGAAAAATGGTTGACGTTTTGATTGAGGTAAGTTGGATTTTGAAATTTGATCATGTACAACTAAACCAAATGCACCACGTCCATAACTTTGCAGTGTCACTTCCATCCTTTCCTGATGACATATTCGACCACATGGTACACGTGACATTGTCCCTTCTACAGAAGCTGAAATGAAAAAAACAAAGAAAAAGTTAATTTTTATCCCAAAAAATATGGTTATTGCAGAAATTTTTGCTGCAAAGAAAAATACGATTACTGTACAAAATTAAACTGCTTACTGCATTGTCACATTGTATTGTCATACTATCTCGACTATAAACATGCTATCAAAAAGAAAGTATATATGAAAAGTATAAGAAAAAGAAAATACAAAAAAATATTTCGTAATTCAAGTTAATTTAATTATTAAAAATCATTCGTAAATATTTTATGCAAAAAAAAAATCATTTGTTTACAAAAATTTCTTAAGAGAAAAGTAATTTCAAAAATTGAAATTTTTATTTGATCAGTTGTTGTTTCGATTTGAAATTGATCGTTATGAAATTTTGATAGCGAATTATTTTTCATTGTTTGTACAATTTTCTGCCTTCTTTCTTTTTTTTTTGAAAAAATTAAAGGAAGGAAAACATTAACAGAAGTAATTATTGCAATTAAATCCAAAATAATATCTCTTAATTAAATTTGATTAAATCCATTTTTAACATTCGAATAAATAACTATTCAGGAAATTTATTACGAAAATTGGAAAAAATATTGAGATAATTAAGAGCTAAATTGGTGGTAAATTAAACAAACAGGTAATTAATTAATTGTTTCCTTCATTTATTCCTCCATTTTTCATCTATCATCCAAAAAATTCTTTCAAAAATTAAAAATTTCAAAGTTCGAAGTCAAATAAGAGTTTCTAACAAGTGAATCAGGAAATTAAAGAAAACGAAATTTCCCAACTGAAAGAGGTAAATCAACAATTTTAAATAAAGTCGACAAGAATACAAGGATAGTATATTAGAAATTTTAATATATATGATAATTTTATTTGTTAAAAATCAAAATGATACATGCATACAAGATGATGCTTTTCCGGCTGAAAAGAATAAATTATCAATTCGGCCCATTCAACTAAGGCCATAAACAAGCTACTGGAACATTTTGATGTTTGGTTAAATACTTGTCATAGTAGTAAACTGATTCTATATCTGATAGGCTAAAAATATAGGCCTGAAAAAAAAAAAAGGAAAGAAAAAGATAATTTCCTATGTTAAACAATTCCATCTAATCTATTCGTTAGTTATTAGTTACTTAGAATCATACTAAGCTTATTTTTTTTTTTTTCTTCCAGATTATTGATGATACCAACGGTATGATACTACTTGGCTTATTTAGCTAAAAAATTTTTTAGCTTACTTTACTAGTATTTGCCAAAACGAAAGAAAAAAAAAATGTTTTTCATTTTAATTTTTTTGCCATAACTCAAACATTTTGTCTATTTATTTAACAGCCAAATTTTTAAAGAAAAAAAAAATACTTTTTTATTTTTTTTTCCGAATAAATACAAATTAATGATTAAATAATTAACTTATATACAAAAGCATTTCTTCGACTGAAATGAATATGCATAAGATTTTCTTTGTTTCATTAAAATGTTATCAGTTTAATGGATGATATCTCTGATAATTATTGATATTCTAAAAATTTTAACAGACAAAATCTTTCAACTTGCTAAATTTTTCTTTTTACAACACACCAATTCACCTTCACTTTTTTCCTTTTTTCTAAATTAATTTCAAAAAAACAACGATTTTACTAAAAAGAAAAAAAAATTTACTTATGAAAAAATCGCTGATATTCATCAATGAAAATAATTTCGACGAAAAGTGAGTGGAAGAAAAAAAGTAATTTACGATGTCTAATTGTAATTTTTTCTTTTTCTTTTTTTTTGATTGGGACCAAAATAACAATTAATTATCGTTTAACTGGTTAATAAAAAATTCATTTTTATAATTACTGGTGGTTAGAAATAATGGTAGTAATAGTAATAATACTAATAATAATAATAATAGCAATGATAGTAATAATAA